TTCGCTTACCGAAAAAATACAGTTGGCCCAGAATTTGATGTTGGCATGTACTTACTTGACAAAATACTAAAGATGGTTGTAAACGTCTGAATAATTATTTTAAGACCATCACCTTTTTTTTTCCCTCGATGACAACCTAAGATTTTCATAAATGACATCAATTGAGATATAATAAAAAGCTGTCAAAAAAGGAAAAAAATATAGATTATTATAGAACAGTTTCATGAAAATGTCGACATCCTTTCTTTTGGATACTACGTGAACAACACAAGCACATTAAGCCCCTTGAGAAACATTAAAAAAAAAAAAAACAAGAATGATACGGAATCGAAAAATGTTGTATAAAATATAGCTTTTGAAGTACGAAAAAGAGCTGGACAGATTGTATAAGATTGGACAGTAAAGTTGATGAAATCCGATTCCTCTCAATCGAGAATGATGGCGACATTTCAGTGATCCTAAAGTATGGAATCCGACCAAAACACTTTTACTGCAGACGATCCGAGGGATTATAAAAAGTTAAAAACTAAGGCGAGTGTTCAGGGATTATATCATAAAATCGAAATTAGTTTATACTTAAGGCGTATATAATATAACTAAGTTGTCGTGCAGTGTTTTAAGAAAAAAAGGTTGTCGTGATTCGTGAAGAGAACATATATATCATCTAGTTTGCTTTGTTGGTCCGTTTTTCATCTAAATCGGTTCTTAGACGCCATGAATTTCTTGCGACGAGGATTAAGAATAAACAATACATGGAAGAGTAGTTAACTTGAATATTATTTATAGATTAATCATATCTTATTTTTGTAAAGTGTATAAAATAGGTGAATATTGCGGTTACGTGGTAAACTGAAAACTTTAAAACTATATTTTAGTAGGTTTTGCTGTTAAGTACTCCTCCAGCAAAATAGAGTTTGAAAAATCAATATGCATACAAAAACTGTGATATAGATTTTGTGTTAGAAGGGTTGAAAAATGTTTTGGTATATTTGTTGTAAACTATAGTTTAACAAAGCAATAGACATACATATGCTGTGATATGTAGATTTTGTGATAGATTTCGACAATATTTTACGGTATTTTGGATCATAAAAGTCTAATACCGCACACTGCACAAGTGCAATTGGTCATCAACTAATTTTGGGTTAACAACCGGTTTTTTGGTTTCTTTTGTTTGTTTTATTTTTTTAATTGTAGGGTTTCTTCAACGTTTGCCCAAGTTTTGATTAAAGTTTTTGTTTTTGGTTTTCAGGTTTTGTTTGAGTATAGACAACAGCATATCCACTAACCTAACCTATAAAATCTCGATTAATCACGTTTGTAGATATAACAATAATAATAATATTTCAAGCTTTCAATACGATACCATTATGTATGATAAACTTTCAAATACAGAGTTCCAATTTTATCATATGTACCCCAGTGGACAAAAACATTTACAGCTTGTATAAACTTTTTTTCTTAGTTCGTGTATAAAAACAACTAGAAATTGTATACAATATTTACCTTTAAAAGTTTAATAACCCTATATGACAAGAACTTTAAAGGTAAATATACAATTTCTAGTTGTTTTTATACATGAACTTATATACTTAGAAAAAAGTTTATTCAAGCTGTAAATGTTTTTTTTTTTGTTTGGAACAATACAAGCTGTAAATGTTAATTGGTTTTATTTGCACAAACGGTCTAATTACATGGAAATACAATCACTAATTATTTCAGATTACAAAAAACTGAGTAATTTTACTGAGACACAACTACAGATATCTAATTCGGTTGAATTGGACAAAACCAAACTAAAATCACATGAAAACATGTCCCCAAATACGATCCAAAATGTATTTGCTTGTAACTAACAAACCGAACTCTAAGTCAGATATACCTCCAAATCATGGTTTGGTTAATTTTTAGCAGTCCGTTACAGTTCGGTTTTAACTTTTAACACATTTGTAATTGCGTGTAGCACTGTTATGATGGGGTGGTGGTAATTGGGTTAGATATTGTAATATATGAGCTTTTTAGGTGTTGGAATAATTTAACAAGTATATTAAAAAAGTTTGGGGCTTTTACGGAAATACTTGAAATAAAAAGACCTTCTCTATCAATTTCGAGAAAAATGATAAATCGTCGCGACGCTACAAAATCTCCCGCCTTAATTTCCCTCCATATTTTTCATTTCGCTTTCTTTCTCATTTAGCTTTCTTCTTACCAAACTAAACTGTCTTTCTTCTTCTGCTCTTGGCTCTACACAGTTAAAGATGTTGGATCTGGGAACCATGTCTATGTCCGCATCTGTTGCTCTCACCTGTTGCACTACTTTTCTTCCGGCGGGTTCAGGGCCTGAATTAGCCAAATCCATCGAGTCCCCGGAAGACGTAGCCGGAGATTGCAACCAGAAAGAGATGCCGAAGCTTCCCCCACATGAAAAGGTCAGAGATATTAGCAATGCTAATGGAATCTCATCTTTGATCGGAAAACAGAATTCGCACAACAGAGGCAAGAAAGGGCTGGCTCTGGAAGATCACGTGAGAGATTGGGTCAAGAGGAGAGTGGATTCCGGAGTTTCGGAGTCGAAATGCTTCCTCCCTTTTCTAGTTGGAGCCAAGAAAATGGTATTTTTTTTTTTTTGTGATTTCTGTTTAGATATTATCAATCATTGAATTGTTTCATGTGAATTTCATCAATTTGCTGTCTCGGAATCCATGAAAGATCAGAGTTTCGTTCATTGAATAGTGACGTGTCAAGTTTTCATATTTCTTACTATATGGGATTGGATTTGGTGTGTCAGGTTGAGTGTCTTGTTTGCCATAAGCCGGTGAATCCAGGAGAAGAGTTGCTGTGTACTGTTAACAGCTGTCAAAGCGTTTATCATTCGTCTTGTGCGAAGGAAAGTCTCGGCACTTCTAAATTGGCAAAATTTAAGTGTCCTCAACATGTAAGATCCTCCTCAAACCATTGTTTTGAATCAAAAAGCATATCATATATGTCTAGGGATTTAGTAAAGAAACTGTGATTAGGTAGAGAACTGAGTTTGGAATAGTTTTGATTGTGTGGTATCTGATAGAATGGAGTAATGCAGGAGTGTTTTGTCTGTAATAAAAGACCTCAATGGAGGTGTGTGAAGTGTCCAATGGCTGCTCATGACAAGCATGCTCCATGGTCAGATGAAGTGATTCATCTGAAAGACCAACCAGGAAAAGCAGTTTGTTGGAGGCATCCAACTAATTGGCGACTAGACAGAAAGGTTCGTGTTTTCAAGTTTATGATTTGTGTGGTTTCCACACAGACTCACTCACAAGACTGACACTGTTGTTTCTTGGTTGAGCAGCATGCAGTTGCACAGAGTCAAGTGGAGGTCAGTGTTTCTCTGGCACATGTGAAATTAGGTTTTGTAGTGATTCTTACAAAAAAGGGAAGAGATCGGAAAGCTGGATATTGTTGTTACTATGCAAATAATTTCATTTACTTTCATATTCAGGATGTCTTTAGCCAGTTGCCTTTGCCGTACGTTGAAGAGGAGTTCAAGCTTGACATGACATGGAAAGAATCTGGTGCCAAAGAGGAGCTGCCTTCTTATGTTCACATTAGGCGCAGTATCCTTCATAGTTTCCATACATAGCTTTCTTTCAGTTCGTTATTAGTGCCATAGCATGATTTTTTTTGTTATCTATCCTTGACTGAGTTAAAGATGTTTACTTGGTAAAGAAGAAGCGGGACGATGCTAATGATGGTGTTGGATGCACAAACTGTGGCCCTATTTGCTGTAGAAGCTGTGTTTGCAGGTATACTCATTGATTAAACCATTTCAACCTCTTCTCTGTGGAAAAGAAATGAAATTTTGTCTGAATCATGTTCCATCTTTGAAACAAAAATGGCAGGTCTCAATGTATAAGCTGTTCAAAGGGATGTGGATGCCCTGAAACTTGTAGCAACAGACCATTCCGCAAAGACAAGAAGATCAAAACTGTTAAGGTAATTTTAGTTTGTTCTGATTTGTACGTGACACACCCTTCTTTCTTGTCTTGACATGTCAACTTATTGTTTTTCACAGACTGAACTTTGCGGTTGGGGAGTAGAGGCAGTAGAATCTATCAACAAAGATGACTTTATTATTGAATACATCGGTGAAGGTAAACTGTGTAGACATTTGCATTTGAGCTTTATGGATGTGGCGGAAAGAGACATAGTGTTTAGTGGTTGTTCTTACTCAATTTGCAGTGATTAGTGACGCTCAGTGTGAGGAAAGGCTTTGGGATATGAAGCATAAAGGCACGCAAAACTTTTACATGTGTGAGATTCAAAAGGACTTCACAATTGATGCCACCTTCAAAGGGAACGTTTCTCGCTTTCTGAATCACAGTTGCAACCCAAACTGTGTATTGGAGAAGTGGTAAACCATAGATTACATCATACTAAGAGAGAGTGTTGACTGTTGAGTCAGTCTAATTCTTGTCAAATTGTGTGGTTGTTTCAACAGGCAGGTTGAAGGTGAGACCCGTATAGGTGTCTTTGCAGCTCGTCAAATAGAAGCAGGAGAGCCACTTACATATGATTACAGGTCAACTTTTTTAATCATTTGAGTCCCTATGAAGCTAGAGCAAATCTGAGATTCTGATATGTTGTTCATCTTTTGTTTTTGGCAGATTTGTGCAGTTTGGTCCTGAAGTAAAGTGCAATTGTGGTTCTGACAACTGTCAAGGTTTTCTTGGGACGAAGAGGAAGGAACCAACCCCTTTGGTTGAATCTTGGGGAGGGAAACGCAGAAGAGTGGTGCACCGGCCAGTGACCCACAAGTTGCATCCTGAAAAATCAAATCCAAAACATGAACAAGATGAAGCACCATAGTTTTGTTTGTTTGAGTTACAATTTGAAAACAATCTTTTTACGTTTACACATTACACATTTGTGAGATTATGTATTCATTCCGGTTCTGGACAGTGGCTTATAGAACCACTTTTGCTTGTAACCGAAGCGTAACAATAATATGTAACTGAAAAACAAATGGTGTATTATATATACAGTGATCGTTTGGTATTCTCAGATTTTCAGTCATACCACATGAAACCCTAATATCATGACAGATTTTGGCTTCTACGCATCCTCAGGAAAGAGAACTCGACGTCACGGATCATGGAGGGATACGGGAACGGCTCTGATTCGAAGTGATGGATGCGGTGTTCAATTGTGTTGTAGTAGCGACCAAGACGTTGCCTTGCAGCTTTCTCCATCTGACGGCGACGCTGCCTTGAAGTTTTCTCAGTCTGATCAAATCTCTCGGTAAGGTGTCCTAGTTGCTTCTCGTCTTTGTTGACGGTATCACTCGTGTGATCAGGTAGAGTAAGAGGAACACGTGATGCGCAAGACAACATAGAGAAACTGATCAAGACCAAGAGAGTGACGAAACTCATTGTTGTTGAAGCTTTTGCCATCGTTGGGAAACGAAAAGAGAGGGAAATTTGGTTTGTGACGTGTGTATGCGTTTATTTGTGGAGAAAGATGTTAGGGTTTGTGTAGAAGACCGACCTTATTTCCTTTTTTTCTGTTGTAAATTCAGTCGGTTTAATTATCACGTCTAAAATCCAATCTCCAAATATAAATAAAAAACCTGAGCTAAGTTCTCATTAAACAACTCGTTTGACTGTTTCAGTATTTTGTTGAAGTTACTTGCACAGAAAGTTAGTTAACCTACTTTAACATGACAAAAAGCCGTCACAAATAGGATGATATAAATCCCACAACTTCATTAACTGTGTGTACTCAAAAGGACTTGTCGAATCAGAATAATAAAAAGTCCAGATAATGATTGATTAAATAATGTATATGTTGTGCATTTATATCCAGATAATGATTGATTATATAATTATTGGAGGAACATTGATTAAAGACCAGATGGTTATGTGATTAACCCTTTATATGTACTGTGTATGTTGTAACTTCCTTTTTCTATTGGGAAAATATTGAAAACTATTCTTTAGTCACAGCAATATTTTGGTTTGGAATTGTATTCGGTCATATCAAACATTTACAAACTTGTTTTTTTGTAGACAACAAGAAAGATCAAAAGGACAAAAACACAAGAGCCTAAGAGAGAAGATATTTACTCACTCCAAACTAACTTGAATATATTCTTACTAGCCGCTCCACATATTACATTGTTGCTTCGATTCCTCAACATGTCTTCTTGCGCTGACACATTCCCATCCTTCAAACCAAAATGGAGAGAAGATTAATTCTTGTGTACTTCAAGATTGGTGTTCTTAATGATAATGAACAAGATTCTAGGCAAAAAAAGGCTTACTAGATGAGAATATGCATAAGCAAGAGACAAAAGTGTTGGGTACATATCAAGAACCGCTATGGCTATTTCCTCTGTTACCTGCGGTACCTGTGCGTACCAAAAAAAGTTTCAGAAAGTTGCAGAGAAGAATCCACATTACTTATCAAACTCCCATTACAGAGAATAGACAAATGGCAAAAGGCTTTAAAAAGGTAAGAGAGTCAGTACCTGCATAAGCTGAATTGCAAATACATCACTGATTGTCATCTTATCGAGGTCTTGACATCTTTTGACAAAACTATCAAAACAAGTATACGATGCTGCAACTCTGTTCTGTTCACCATTCACCCTCGACTTGTAGTATTGGTGTATTGATTTTGTTAGGTAACCGTACTTTCTTAGCGTCTCACCAAGTCCGTTAGTCCTAATCACATCAAATCCCTCCAGAATCTCCGTTGTGAAACAACTACAAGCATATAGATGGAAACTAAGTTTGAGGTTCCAAATCTCAAAGAAGACTGCACAACCATCTGAAAAGGAAGAAATTCTTACGCTGTTTTAATGCTGTCTGCTGCATCACAATGGTTTGGATCCCCTTCAATTATGTACATCAACTTCTTGAATCCCGATCTCTTTTTAGAGGTGCCAATTCAAGAAGAAAATGAGAAACAGCCTCAGCAAAAGATAAGAGTAAGTAGAAAACGTGGCAGTTGAGAATTTACACACCTGGAGTCTAAGTTTTTGGTCCCTATAGCGATTATCTCTTATTGACGAGCGCAAATCATCAACGTTCTTCCTCTCAACAATAAAGTCCAGGACATATTCAGCCCCAAGGCACTTATGCCGAGCAATCCAGATACAATCCCCTACTGGTAATCGTCTAACCTACAGATTCAACACCATCTTTCCAGTTAATTTGAGTAATTTGGAATCTGAATGACTTCTATTTCAGGAAAACAGATGCAAACCTCAATCTTGATCTTGAATTCCGAGCATATGTAATCCACTATTTTCCTGGATCGTGATCTGTGAATAAGAAGATATGGGTTTAAGTGTTATTAACAAGATAGACTATTATCACACTTTCATAACTATTTAAACCATAAGAAAACTCAAAGCAAGAAAAAAATGAGTAAATGTTCCACGAACCCTTTGGTGGCAAACTGTTCTCGGTCATCCAGTATCAAGATCACCTCATATGCTTCCTCAAACGCTTCTCCAAATATAAGAGGAGGCAGGTGTGGAATAACTGAAACTCCTTCGGTTCCATCTGAAGGTAACTTTGTAACCATGAAACAATAAAAAACAAATAATGCTGATTAGCAATTTAGTTGCTGCTGATCGTAATAGATAAATCTAATAATTTACTGAATGCAAATGGTTACATACGGAAGAGGAGCAGGCTTTCAAAGCATGGCTCGAACCGGATGAGCATGATTTCAAGGTGTATCCATCTTTGCAAGAGCGGGACTTCTTAGCACGAGATCCCTCAAGATCAACTTGACCTGTAAATTTGTATCTAAGTCTTTAATAAAATGAAATATCCAACCTTTAACAGGCGCAGAACTTAGGACATTAGATCATATGGTTGCTAAAGAGTAAAAAACCGTACAAGTTTGCGCTTTTGAAGGTCCTGCTGAATCTTTTCTTCTATTCCGAGAGTCCGAACAGGGATTATAAACTTCTGCTTGACGAAGATGGCACATTACAGATAGCCAGAGAGTTGATGGATCTTTGTCCTGAGATCCATCTGAAACCTCTCTGAATGCAGCAACAACTTGTTCCTTGGTATAGCCAAACGGTGTAAACTGTTGAAGAAAAAGAAAGATAACAATTAACACTGAAACAAAGTATTGTCACCTCACCACCAAGCAACACTGTATAAGAAAGCTCCAAATGCTATTTTGAAGGAGTACCTTTTCAAGAATATCACTTGGAATGGCTGGTTGTGCCCTAGATCTTGGTTCAGCATATGGTTGTTCTTCTCTCATGGAAAAAGAGGAGGTGGAATTTTGATTAGATGTTTCCTTTGGTTGCTGTGCAGGATCCATTTCTTCATCGGATATGATGTCAAGTGCAGGTAATCCAGACCGCGTGATACATTCATTTGCTACTTCCCGACCTTCACCTGTCAGCATGTACCTATGAAACAAACAAAAAACCAATATCTCATCATATGTCTCAAGGTAAGGTCTACTTCGCTACACATACTACATTAGGCCAAAATGAGTTGTTACTTTGCTGGGTTGCTAGATTTCACCACTAGTCCCTTCTCTATAAGTGTTTTCATGCAGCTCCATCCGCTATACCACTCCCTCTTAGAGTTTCCAAGTCCTGCTTTCCCTTTTCCTTTCTCAGGCCTAGTCACACAAATGGAAGAATAAATCAGAGAGCAATGATTAAGTACAAACCGTCAGGTTAGAGATGAGGAAAGTGATTGATTCATACGCAACAGGAGCGTGTGAGAGACCACTCGCGTCAGCAGCATCAATAAGCTCTTGTTTGCGCATGAATTCTTTCCCATTTGAAGTCCCTCTGGTAAACGATAACAAAACGTTCTCAGAGAAATGTTTACTAAGGGGAAAAAAAGAGCACATTGAGAGGAAAGTAAAAATCTAAACAACCTGTGCAACGTTATTAGTAATGCATAAGACACAGAATTTCTTTGTGGAACGTAACGTTTGCTTCCCTTGGCCTTTTTCCCTGAACAGAAATCAAAAGCACCTTACATTAACATATTACATTGATCAATCATGTGAACAATGTGATATTGGATACAGCTTTGGACACAGCAGACACCATTACCAGCACAGTTTTCAGGTAAATCTTCTTGCTCAGAACTTCCAGCCCCAGTATCGAAATGTCCTTTCATGAGCTTAAGCATCCACTTGCCAAAGCCCCTATGCGATAAATCCAGCAAAAATCAAGAATCAGACACTTGGGTGTGTATACAAGCAAAGCCACCCAAAAACTAAAATCACTCGCCATTTGCACCTAAGAAACCAAAATGGATATAAACAAACACTTTCCCTGAAACAAAGATATATACTTTGATATTCTCTGATTGATTACAACGATAATCAGATTCTATGATTTTGGAAAGTCTCAGTCTTCATGACTTCAATCAGATAAAACAAGCACAAAACCTTACCAAAAATCTAAATTTTCAGGAACAAACAATGTATGTGAAGTCTATAAAAACGATGCACTGATGATTATCTTCTTACTCTCTTAGTCGCTGAATCAATTCCACCACTCAAATACTCAATCAATACTGAAAAAGCGAAGAATTTCGAACCAGAAACACAAAAAGGTCCCATCTTTCCCATCAAATTTTGGAAAAAGGCAACTCAAACAAGAAAACGACTAAACCCAGCAAGAACATAGAACCCTAGGAAACAACATTTCCCCTAAACCAAAATGCCCATAGAGAAAAGAGAAGAAAAAGGAAAGCAAGAAGCATACTTGATCTGCGACAAGTCTTTGAGTGTGTTAATGGGATCCTTGGCGTCGCAGACATTTCTATACGCCTTAACAAATGTCCTCTCCAGATTTTCCGACAAACCCTTGGGCTTATCTGCGTATTCTCGCTTCGTCTGCAGCACATAATCCGCTAAACCTTGGTTCTCTGGACACAGTACCCTTCTCTCGTCATCCATCACCAACCCACTAAGAAAAGAGTCTCAATTAAGCAGAAGAACTTCAAATCCTCGATGTAGGCTTGATCTTCTCTGCAAAGGCTTGAATGCTTGATCTTTCGTTTGCCGGATAAGTGGGAATTTCAAAATTTGGGGATTCGACTAAACAACGCCGGTTAAGGTTACCAATTCAATGACGTCATGACGCGACGATTGTAGAGCCTCCGTCTCGCACAGAGACTTTAAGTGACCTCATTGTTTTTACTTCGGACGAATATTCAATATTCAATCAAACTTTGGGAATTAGCATTGAATCATTTTAAAAGTTTTCAATGCTAAAAGTTTTCATACGGTTGGTACTGAACTATAACAAGAGTGCAACACTCTAGAGACTATAACTGCATATTAAGCTAATTTACTAAGATGTACAAAGCCCCAAAACTTACGATTTATTAGAAAACTATTTAACTCAATTCTTTAGAAAAATAATTAAAATTTCATTAAGATTTCCGTTGTAGTTTTTCTTTCAAGAAAAATAAAGTTGAATAACCCACACTAATTTTTTTGATCAGTTTTGGGATGGAATCATAGAAATCACAATGTAATGGGTTAGTTTTATGAGAAATCAAACCAAATCACTCACAATTTGTCACTTTGGTACTTAATTCCTTCCATTTCATTTTGGTTTAATGCCATCTTGACATTCATTATATTATATTTCCTCTGAATTATAAGTTCATGCATTGGCTGCACATCTAGTTTGTAGTTCCGAGGAAACTCATCAGAATCTCACAGGCAATTTCAACTATTTTGTCACATGAAACCAATAGGAAAAGATTTAACAGAAAGCCAGCAGTCTCAACTCTCAACATAAAAGAGCTCACATGCAACACAATCCCAAAAGCCCCCTTAGTCAATATACTATATAAACGCCTAAACCCCTAATCAACCTCTTGCATGCAAAGCCACACTCACTATTATCAACCTAAAATGGCTCCAATAGGTTCTCATGTTTTGATCGGTCTAACAATGATCCTTGTCATCTCAGGAAAACTACTAGTTTCAGGGCAAGGAACGTGCCAAGGAGACATCGAGGGTTTGATGAGAGAATGTGCGGTCTACGTCCAGCGTCCAGGCCCAAAGGTAAACCCATCCGCAGGGTGTTGCAGAGTCGTTAAGAGATCAGATGTACATTGCGCATGTGGCCGTATCACGCCTTCAGTCCAGAAAATGATAGACATGGATAAGGTTGTTCATGTCACTGCCTTTTGTGGGAAGCCTCTCGCTCATGGTACCAAGTGTGGAAGTAAGTCTACTAATTCATTCAAAAGCTTCATTCTTATAATCATATGGCTTTAATCTTGTAAATATTGAAGGCATCCCTATAACTATGCTTCAATTGTTGTTTTGCATTTGCATCTTACTCAAAAAAAAAGCTTTTATATTCATGTAAATACAAACGTAGCTACAAAAATTGCGTTCGAAACATGAGATCCTAATGTGTTGATGTTACTTATGTGACAGGTTACGTTGTGCCATGAGATTTGGGACCAGAACTTAAAAGCTAAGGATTTGTGGAGAATGAATTGTTTGTGCTTGGAGCCTTCGTATTATTACCCCACTTAAATCTACTCTTGTAAGCTCTAATAATATTGAATGAAATAAATATAATTTGATCGTTGAGAACTTTATCCATGGTGTTGAGATCAAATGATGTTTAGATGGATTAATAACCAAGATCTTTAAACCATGATACAGACTAATAGCCGAATGTTTAAACCAGTTTATTTGATCTCCACAACTTGATTGATTTGGTTCCACCTTGTTGTATAAGATTAGTTTAATGACAAGAAGCTAAGTAACATAAAGGCAATAATTTTCGAATAATAAGTCTATTATAAAGTAAATAACCGTTTGAATCAGATTAAAACATTTCCTTCTCAAGGAATCAAAACAAAACTTTCAGTGTAAACCAGGGTGGTACTCTAAAACTATTTACCTATTGAGATTCCCTCCTTCAAAGTTCTTATATAAGAACCAGAGTATACCATCGTGACTACTGAAACTCAAAGTACCCCAACACTAAGCCGAGAAAGATGTTGCTCTCTTTTCTCCGACCATGCAAATAGATTGCTTTGGATTTTCTTACACTTGCTTGTAGAATAGGACATAGGCTTGGTCATGCAAAACCTGTTTTGCCCCAATCGCAGTCACAGATGCATCGTCAAACCTAAGCCATTGACTGTTCTTTCGTCGAGCATCTGTGGTGTAGTGCCCTTTTGAAGGATCCCTTCCATGGTGGGTGATAGTCGCCACAAGTTCATATTTTAAGCCCTAAAAAAGAAGTTATCAAAGTAAGCAATAGTTCCATCAACAGAGGGAGATCCAACGAAGAGAGAGAGAGAAATGTCTGTTTTCGACTTTATACCTTGTTGGAAGGAGAAGCAAGAAGGTAACGGCCTAAGTTGAGTTCAAGGGGAAAGTGAACGGGTTTATGCACCTTAGTACTCCCTTGGCTTCCGTAGCTAAAGCGCATTAGGTGCAGTATCATTATCTTTGAGAGTTCCTGTATCTTTATCGACTTTCTAGCACTCACTACACCAGCCTGAAATGAGACACCACTCAAACAAGCAAATCGGCCAATTGTTAAAAAGGAGCCTTCTTCAACCAGTATTGTAGTATGTAAATACTCATAAGGAACCTTTTAAACCAATGCGCGTAACATACCACATACTCAAGATAGTGAGATGAGAAATAGCTTACCTTCCCAGTAACAGAGGCTCGATACCCTTCAAGATCTTCTGGGGTAGAGAACAAACGCAATGCATCTTCTATTGTTCTCACGGCTTCTGGGTGAATATCAAGGTGAAGTAAGAGATATGGCTGTAGAGTAGCAGAATCTGTGGTCCCTGTTCCATAAAAGACATGTGAGTGCCTGATGGAAACAGAAGTTGTATATCCTGACTTTTATAAAATGAAATTTAAAATGACAGCAAAGAATACCAATACCTTTAGCCTTCACTACGCTTTTTAGCTGCCCACCGAATATATCACTGAGCTCAGAATGAACAAAGCTTTGTGTCCTTGTCACAGCTGATTTGTTCTTGGGTCCAACTGTTTCCCATTCATCATCATCGTCGGCAGAAGAAACAACCGATGATGGCTTAGAAGCAGTAACTTTGGGGGACTGTTCCCTGAGTTTCAGCAACTCATCATGCATTTGGTCCATTATAAAACTCAAAAACTCCTGAGCATCTTCCTGTCTGCCAACCCAAGAACACAATGTTGGAATCGGGGAAAAAACCGGTTAAACTATTCAAACATCGAAATTTCAGAAAGTCACAAACCTTGGCCGGCCAGACATGTTGTTGAGTACATCTGGGGTAAATTTTCTAAGGACACCCTCGAACATAGCAGGTGTAAAAGGTCTACCAGACTCCACGACGGCAACATTATTTCTGAAGCTTGAACTGCTCGGCGCATCTAATTCAGAGATGAACTCGGAGAATGCAGCCAAGGTTGGAGACTCAGCCTGAGAACACAGAACATGAAACAATCACGATGAGACAAGAAAAGATGGCAAACAGAATTAACGCACAGAGAGAATAATGCAGGAGAGAAAAACCTTTGGAATATCTTGGAGTTGTATTCCCTGGAGGAGCTGCACAAAAGGAGAACATGAGAGTAAAGCCTGCAGAGTAGCATTGAGGAAGCACAAATTCCCAGCGTTTATTAATCCTCTTGGTGTGAAGTCTTTAACAGGCGGAAGAGATTCAGTAGGAGGAACAATCTGGCTTTTCTTTCTTGGTACGCTGCCAGATGAAGAATCACTTGACAAACTCTCGCTGTCCAGAGCTTGGAATTTCGAGTTCGAAGCTTTATACAAAGAATCACTCTCACCATCTGACACACACAGCTCATCCAAACCAATAGGATCTGCTTTCACCGCCACACCATTATTGAGAGAACTTCTCTCAAACACCTCTTTTGTGATTCCATTTTCTTTCACAAGCTCTGCAACTCCTGATGAGTGTTTTCTAGGGAGCTTTGCATCATTATCTTTGATCTTATCAGCTTTAGAAGCATCACGAGTCTTTTGAGAGCCAGCGGACTGAAGAATACTTTTATCTTCCTTATGAGAGCTGGAGGGTCGAGATTTAACTGTCCCATCGGCCTGACTTTTCTTCAACTCGCCATTGGTATTTACTGAAGAGTTTTTGGCAGCAAGACTCAAGGAGCCGAATTGTATACTTCCCACAGACTTATCTTTGTGATTCTGAGAAGCTTTGATGGGTTTCTTCTCAAGTAATGACCTTGTTTCGTTTTCTGTAAAGGATCCAAACACAAACACCTGCCAAATGAACAAAATCAGGATAGCAACTGTCACTTCTCTTCCCGGAAACAGATCACAACGACAATAACACCATTTCAACGAAACAAAATCAGCGAAATTCAACTAATTTTTCTTAATTCAGGTGAGCTCCAATGCAAACTCGAGACCATGAGAACTAAATCCTAACGCAAACAACATAGCAGAGAAACTGAGAGGCAGAGAAGACGAGGGAAATTTACCTTCTTATCACTCATAATTGGCACATACAACGCAACGGAGAAGAAATTGGAGAGGAGCAGCAAAAGAGCGTAATCTGATTCAGAGAGAGATCCAATGGAAACGAAATGAAAGAAGCATGAGAAATTTCGAAATCTAGGGTTTGAGGCACCAACAACCCTTGATGAGAGTCGGCGACTTGAGAAGACATGAAAGGGGTAGAGGCGAGGGAGAAAGTGAGGATTTAGAAATTGAAGCCCCTTCTCGGTTTTTCTCTGCAAATTCGAAATGGGGAATCATCCGAATTTGGAGGAGGTTATTAGTCAGAGAGAGAGAAGAGAGAAGAGAGACGACAGACCTTTTTGGGATTTGAGTAAAAAATTAGGGTTCCTTGTCTTTGTCGGATAGTTTGGTGAAGAGGAGGAGTAGTCGAGGACGGAGCTTTAGCGCCGCGTTTGGATCTTTCGTCTCCTCTTTTTGTCAAACGCGTCGTCGCGTCTACAATAACCATCTCGGTTCGATTTTTATTTCATTTTGGTTTAATTCGGTTTTGTTCCATCCAATATCAAACCGTAGTAGTAGATTACTCCGGTTTAGTTCTTACAAAATGGTGAAGCTGTGTTCTGTACAACTATGTCTCGGGTTCGAAGCTTTTCGACTTTTGTCTGAAACTAATTTTATTTTGTCTGAAAAAGAGAGAGACCAAAAAAAGTTAAACTCGCCGACGACTCCACCGGTCCGTCTCCTTCTCCTCCGACGGTTATTTATTCCGATTTTCATGTTGATGAAGCTTATATAGAAATGTTAGCGCTTGTTTCAGGGAAATGGCTCCAACAAATGTTTGTTTATTTATATAATCAACGGCGATGAGATATTTCGGCAAAAGTCGTCAAATGTGCAAAGACTCATTTTCTCCGCAGTCTTCGCTGTTGGTAAAAGAACAAGGCAAGTATTTGATTCGCGGTGGAGTCCCAATCCCAATATTATTAAAATATTACTAAAATATGTTGATAAAGTTCTACGATTCCTGAGCTGTTTACACATTCTTCTCACCTTGAAATTGAAATTGGTAGCTTTTGACTAATAATTGAAAATCATGTAGGTCACGACGATGAGCTGCTGCTGATGTGAGAGACCTTTGTTTTTATTCGGTTTAGCAAAGCAAATAAAATAAATCAGAGAAGAGGAAGAGGAAGAAGAAGAAGGAGACAAAAACAATGAGTGTCTCTTTGAGTGTGATGACATTCAATCTTCACGATGATCAACCTGAAGAAAGCCCTAATTCATGGCTGAAAAGAAAGGATTTGTGTCTCAGTGTCATCACCAGTTACTCCCCCATCATTCTCTGCACCCAACAAGGTTCTCTATTCCCTCTCTTTTTTTGTTTTCCCAAAGGAAGAATTAATGCTTGCTAGATCTTGATTCATTCTTCATATTTGTGATCTGACTATGTATTGATTTGTGTTCTCCAATAAGATTTTTTTATCTTCTGCCTTATTGAGTATTGATTGAATTTTGTTATTGACAATCTGTTTCCTTTTTCCTTTGTTTAGGTGTGAAGTCGCAGTTGGATTATCTTCAGCAGGGCATGCCAGGTATATTTATATACCATTTCTTTGAGTTATCTCTGATTGTATGCACTGTATCAGATTCTTCAAATATGCACTGTCTTAAGTTTCCTCTTCTTATTTATAATTTACAATGTGAATCTGTTGAGATCTAGATTTGGAGTCTATTTTTAGTATACTGTCTGTTGGCATTGCTTAGATCTGACGGTCAGATTTGTCAAAAATCTGTATCCTCAAGTTAAGTTATAAACTAAAAATAGTGTCTAGTGCACTTGATGTGTGTCTGTTGTATGGTAATGGTATGCATGCGGTTTATCTTTTTAATCTGTTATTGCTTGCCTTAGCTGATAACCTTGACAATACTTGAGTTTGCATTGTGTCCTTAAACTTAAAAGAAATTATAGTACCTCTCTTCGCTTGCAGCCTATGATCAATTTGGCATATCAAGAAGAGGGCCACAGGATGCTTCTGATGAATCCTGCACCATCTTCTACAACAAGGAAAAAGTATTATTAGACTGTTAATGAAGTTACATCAATGCGCACCTTCTTAACGATTAATTTCGTGCTAATACTTTATGGTAAATGAAGGTAGAGCTGCTAGAGGGTGGAACATTTTGGTTGTCAGAGTCTCCCTCGGTCCCTGGAAGTACGGCATGGGGTTCTTCAGTTCCTTGCATAGCGACATGGGCCATATCCTGATTACTTACTGTCATTAGATTAGTGTATGGGTTTTGATTCTTTTGTCATATTATATATCAGGATTTTTGTGTGTTTTCTTTGACAAGCTGTGCCTACACATTCCAACTGAGACGAGTGGAGCCGCCAGGTTTTTCGTTTCAGATAGTCAACACAAACTTGGATGAAATCAGTCCTCGTGCCCGTAGGCGAAGTGCTTTGCTCACATGGCAACACATTGCATCGTTACCTCCCACCTTGCCCGTTGTGTACTGTGGAGGATTCAACACACAGAAGGAATCAACAACCGGGAGATTTCTGTTGGGCAGATCTAGGTACCTTAATATCACCTTCACAATCTCATAGAGTTTTCTTTCATGGCTTCTATGTAATGCTCTACATACAATGGTCAGCTAGTTTCAAATCAACCCATTTTTTCCTTATATGATTGCTGTTTTGGATTCATTTAACTTTGCAGAGAGCACGGTGTGGTAGGGGACATGAGAGACGCCTGGCCAAGTGCCCGAGTAAGAAAAAACGTCGCTCTCATAAGAACATACCATGATTTCAAAGGTACATTGAAGTGTAACATTTTACCCTCTCATGAGCCATTAGAATCATTTATCTCCATCATAACATGTTGTGACTTTGGTCAGGTGACAAGCAAGGAACGGTCGAGTTCCTGAAGCTGATATTCAGAGCGTTATGCCTCTGCTGGGACCGACAGACGCAAGATCTACACACTGATTGGATTCTCTACAGAGGCAGATCTGTAGTTCCCGTGATGTGCGAAGTGGTGAATGATAAGATGGACGAGTTGTATCCATCGTCTCACTACCCTGTCTTTGCTGAGTTTATGCTTCCTCGTTCTGTACGAATGCTTGAACCTAATCCTCCTGTTCCTACTCCTGCTCAAGAGGAAAGCTAGAACATTTGTCCTGTCTTTGCTTAGTCTTTGGAAAATGCTGATTGTTGTTTTGCAAATGTGCTCTGTTTTTTCTCAGAGTCTTATTGGTTTGAGCATAAACTTATAGAAATGAAATAAGGAACTACTTTTGTTTTGGTTTGTTCCAAGACTGATGACCAACAAAGAAGCTTAAAAATACCCTTTATTAAATCTCTGTCAATCTTTTATCATTGTTTTTCTTCGGAGGACGAGAAAGGAAAGCAACAACAATCTAAGAAGAATTGTTTTGTACCCACTCAACGAGAGTCGCAACTCCAAAACCAGTCGCAGCTTTCTTCTTCTCGTTCCACACCGGTCCAGCCATATCTATGTGCATCCACTCAACCTTCTCGTCCACAAACTGCAACCATTCATTAAACCCGGTTCTTCGTTAAGAGAACAATAATGATGCAAGTATTGTAATGTGTTCTTTGTTTCAACTCTTGTAAAAATTCTCACCTGTTTCAAGAAGAGAGCCGCGGTGATTGATCCACCTGCACGGCCTCCTGTGTTAACCATATCTGCCACACCTGATTTCATCATCTCCCAGTAGCTCTCTTCCAAAGGCATCCTCCATAGCTTCTCTCCGCTCCTCTCTGAGGCAGCAATAACCTCCTTTGCAAGCTCATCACTAGGCGTATATATTCCTGCAAAAAAAAAGAGAAACCAAACCGATATTCAATCGACACGAGTGAACGTTATCTCTGTTTGCTCTTAAGACAAGCCTATATACCTGCCGTGGAAGTTCCAAGAGCAACAACAATAGCACCAGTCAATGTTGCAAGGTCAACAATCTGCAAATATTATTCACAAATTGAGGCAAGTTTGAATCAGCCTCCTCTAGCTTCTATGCATCAGTAAATGGAAAAATCGTTTAAAACATACCTTATCAACGCCCTGGTTACAAGCATAAACTAGGGCATCTGCAAGCGTTAGTCGACCTTCAGCATCTGTATTGTTGACCTGCAAATACCGCCAACAAATTAGTTTAACGTAAGAGAAGACAATGGATTAATGGAAAGCTTAAACGTTTTGAAGTTGAACTCATATAGAAGACAATGTTACGATACCTCAATTGTCTTTCCGTTTGAGGCTGTTAAGACATCTCCAGGTCTCATTCCAGTACCACTTATCATATTCTCACAGGCTGCGACAATGAAGTGCACCTGATTGTGCAAAGATACATGTTTTTCAGCTAACATTCACGTTACTCAGAAACTCAAGCTCTTTGTGTTATAAACTTACCTCAACACCGGGAGGCTTAATTTGACCAATGGCTTTCGCAGCGCCAAGAACAGCTGCTGAACCTCCCATATCGAATTTCATGAGCTCAATTGAGCATCCAGGCCCGGTCTTAATGTTGTAGCCACCGCTGTGAACAGAAACCAATATGGTCAGTAACCAATAAATATAAGAAGAAAGAGATCGATGCGAAAAACAGACAGCTGTGGTGATTACCTGTCAAATGTCAATCCTTTCCCAACGAGTGCAAGCTTGGTCTTGACAGGGCCACTAGATGGTTTGTAGACAAGGTGGATGAAATGAGGTGGATTAGCTGAAGCAGCAGCAACAGCGAGATACGAACCCATCTTCAACTCTCTGCATTGTTCCTCGTTCAAGATGTTTGCAGTCATGACATCACTGTACATGGTAGCCAGCTTTGAGGCCTCCTCAGCTAGTACAGCTGTTAAGATACAACGTCGCAGAAGATTAAAGTCCAATGTTTGAAACAAATTGCAATAGACATGGTAAAAAGCACGAGAAACAATCCATACCAGGGGTGAGAACATTCGCAGGAGAATTAACGAGTTCTCTTCCGAAAATCACGCCATAAGAAACATCTTCAGCGTACTTAAGCTTCTTCTCTAGTTCAGGTCCAGTTCCAAAGCCAATGATATCCACAGAATTTAGAGATGGTTTCTTTGACTCAGACTTATACCTGCTGTCTTCAAACAAACCCAGCACTGTGCCTGTCACAAGTAAAGATTCCACAAAGATCAATTCTAATAAACGTAATGGAACAAGAATCATCCTCCTGTGTTAGGTGAAGAAAAGAAACAAACAAGTACCTGAAGCTATAGCAGAAGCAGAGCTGAGCTTGGATTCATTAGAAACACTCTCTGAAGAGGCGAGAACAACTGCAACGCTGCTAGCTTGAGAAGCTTTGGCAGCTGCAGCAACAGCCTCGCCGAGGCTCTGGAAAGCCGAAGGAGATGAAGCAGATTTCCCCAGACCGATCAAACCGACCCGCTTCGACCCGAGACCCGGAAGCCTAAGAACTGTTGACTGGCCGGGTTTCCCGGAGAAATCCTCCTCAGAGGAGACATCAGCTAGAAGTCCACCCAGGTGAGCATCGAGCTTCTTCAGAATCGGGTTCTCGAACTTGGAGTTTGCGTCCTTAGCCATGTCTTTCTCCGTCACACCAACAGCGAGTATGTCACCTTTCCATTCCGTCACGTCGATCTCCTTCGCCGCGAAAGAGATCTAACACACAACATCAACGAATCAAACACCAGTCAATACCAACAAAATGTCAAGCTCGAACGCAATCAATTACGAAATCTATCACTATACTTGACCCTAATCGATGACAAATCACTGACTGTGCTTGACCACAATCGATTACAAAACGTTCTGAAGTCAGAAAATCAGCAGATCTTCTAAACGAGCTTTGACAGATAATAGCAAAATCGAAATGATCCCATAAGTGATGATGAATAATAACCTTGGGATGATCGACGGAGTTGGGCTGAGTGAGGCCGAGAGTAGCTTGTGCGAGTGTATGAGCCATGGCTCTAGAAGAAGAGTATAGAGGCGTGACGGCGAAGGCGAGCTTAAGGCGAGGCGGGAAACAGAATCGGACGAAACGCGAGGAGAAAGGCGAAGGAGAAGAGGAGAAGGAGCGGAGGTGCAGGCGAGAGGAAGAAGAAGCAAAGGACGTAACCAAAGCGACGGCCATTAGAGAAACTCACTGAGCTTCTTTTATTTATAAGGAGACGAAGCCGCCGTGTGCTATCCGATGACTGATGATTACTAACTATTTTACTTGACGGATTTTTGACTCATTTGGTATTATCCGACCCGGGCCACCCGTTTGGGGTCCGTATCCGACCCGACCTTTACAGCATCTAAGTTCAGTAGTTTTTTTCCATGTCGTCAAAGGTTTCATAGATAGGAACTTAACATGATTTCATAGTTTATTCTTTAGATTGGGATAATTCCGGTAAGAAATGCTTTAAAATAGTACTAAACGTAGAGATTAAACCATGAAATCTTAGAATAAGCTTTTCATTCAATTTTATTTTGGTAATTGTAGTCTTATAAGTAGAACTGTAGAAGAAGAAAATCGAATATAAGAGAGAGATGCTCATGAAAACCTTATATCTTACGGTACAAAAGCATAAAGAAAAAGGTAATGGAGAAGCTAGGAGTTGACAAGTTTCCGCAAATCTTTATTTTCTGAAACGAAAACAAACAGTTCCCAAAAGCCTGAGCCAGTATAAATACAGAACTGAAGAGCACATTTCATATCTCAGGAGCCTAGGAGTACCACTAAATACCAAATAAGGCCTTTTGTTTCTATTGACGACTTTGGAATCTAGTTCTAAGAAAAACTTCAGAAAAGGGAAGCCATTGGCAAATGATAATGATCTTCAAATGTATCGGCATCAACAACACCAACAAAAAGAAAAAACAAATCTTCTCTTTAAGCAACTAGCTCAGCATTTGGTTGCTCTGTATCAGATGCCTTGGAAGGCTTATGGACAATCGTTGGCTCTGGTTTCTCAATTCCTTCTATATCGGTTATTCTCAACTTTGTTAATTCCTGGAAATAAATGTTGACTGATCGTTAACAACAAGCATTTCTACAAGGTAAATGACAAAGGTGAAACACATGAAAGGACTTGTAAAGTATTACCTGTCGATGTCCTCTCGTTCTCCTGTAATTCTTTCTTCGTTTCTTTTTGAAAATGAGCACTTTTTCATCCAATGCCTGTCACTCACACAAGGTACAATCTATTACTACATGAGTCAAATCTTTCTATACACATCACACCCCTCCTAAACTAAGACTTTCAGACGATGCGTGGCAAACGATACATGAACACTTTTCTAATAACTTGTTCTCCATACATTCAAAGCACTTGATTTGATTTAGCTTATCTAGTCTAGCATTGGATTCAACAAGAAGTTCTTGAGTGCTTACACTAATCACTAATCATCCTCTTTTCAATGTTTCTAATGCACAGGTTCACTAGTATTATAAAACGCAAGGCAAGAGAATGAGACAACTTACATGCTCTTCAACTACAGCATGAACAGTCGCATCTGGCAAGATAGGCCTACCAATAACCGTCTGGCTCGCCGAGCCCAATAGAAGAACCTTGGTCAGTATCAGCTGCAAGAGGCCAACAGAAAAAGAGAAGCTTTTAGCTCCAATTATAAATCCTAAAAAACAAAATCCAAAATGTTCTTCTTCCTTTTTGAGAGAGCCTATCAATACCTTATCGTTTATGTCACAGAATTTCAGTTTCTCTGTGAAAATGGAGTCTCCGTTGCTCACTTTAAACTGATGCGAACCAATCTACGCGAGACCAATAGACAATTCAACATCAGAGTAAGCGAGAAATGGAACACAAAAAAACGAAAATGATCGAAAGAGAAGTCACGAAACCTGAACGACGGCAAACACTGGCTCGTATGGTTTGAAGAGTCGCTCCGAAGGTTTGAGAGGACCCATCACCTTGTACCCAATCTCCGCCGCCGCCTCCACTTTCTCCGCCGGTGAATACTCCCTTTCTACTTCCCTCTCCGCCGAATCCTCGTAGTACTCCTCATCCTCTCCTTCGCTGCTCTCTTCACCTTCATCACTATCGCTTGCCTTCGAAGAGAAACAGCGACCCTGGGAATGGTAGCGAAGACTGTACCACGGCAAATCCCTAGAGAGAGATCGATTCGGAATCGAGGTCCCATGAGTAATGCTGCTCCCGGAAAGCTCTAACCCCGGAAATGAAGAGATCGAACGCGTCTGGTTGATGGAGAGCACCGTCGTGGCGCGGCGGCTTAGCTCGCGAAGGCATCGAACGCTCGCCATCGGAGATCACGAATTGGAGAGCTAGGGTTTTACACAGAGAGGGGTTTTTGTTATCGTCGTTTTGTCGTCTTCAAATTTCAGAAGACCCTCTACATGAACCAGAGGCGTCAAATAGTCAAACTTATAGTGGTTAAGTGAGAGACTGATGCAAATAGTCAAACTTATAATTACTTTGGAAGATACAAGTTACAACAACTACTAAACACAGCTGAGAATCTAATCATAAACTATAGTCTATAGATATCTTAATGTGTTTTGTTTTATTATATAACAAGAACAAAGAAGGCGAAAATTGAGTCGGTGAACACTAAACTCATAGATACATTATGTGATTTATAATCAGCATTGCTTGATTTCGAATCCAATGCTCAACAAAGTCCGAGCTGATTCCATCACTTTCTCGCCACCAACTTCCAATGTTTCACTGCTCTGCTTCTCATTTTCTAGTCCAACCGAGCACTGGCTTGAAGCGGGAATGTTCACCTGATCATCTGACCTCGTTCTCATCGACGTTGGAGCGGCTGCAGCCATGAGCATGGAGCTAGGAGGACCATGGCGTTTCTTCGGCACCGGCATGTCGTGGTTGTGTACTCCTTTGTACGTGATTATGACGGCTGTTGTGTTCTCTACTGCTGTCTCAATGTGTTTGCGGACAGGACATCCCGCAGATGTACATCGGTAGTAGTTCCTGAAAATGTTTTTGGATACAAAAACACATCAGATCATCGATGCATAAAGAAAACGTTTTAGAAGAAATGTGTAATCAACCTCGGATTTGGATTCCCCTTCACCATCTTCTGGCCGTATTTGCGCCATCTGTATCCATCACCGGAGATCCCAACATCCCCAGCTGCGTGTACTACGAACTTATGTTTCTTTCCAGGCTTAGACACAGAATCTGAACTTTGTGAGCTATCCTTTTTCAGTCTGAAACACGCAATGCAAGAGAGAAGTACGTTAATTTCATCTCCCAACGTTAAGGGTAAGCACCAAAACTCACAAAATTCTAACAAAACTTGCCTTCGTTTTGGCTCTGGTTCCTCCATGGCTTCGTTCTCACAATGTCTCTTCAACGTTAGCGACTGACAGATGTTTTCTTTAGCTGAACAGCTAGGTACTACTATCGCTAGCTCTTGTACTACTGTATTGTCCTCTGAAGCAGGCGGCATCGCTATCTCTCTAGGGGAGAAGCTAATCTTCCGGGGAGGTTCATGACTATGCGAACCTTTGTTAACAATCTCTATCACGTTTCCTGAATCATTGGAGCATTCGATTTTCTTAGCGCAACAATCAGAATACGTACACCTGTAGTAGCTCCGTGATCCCTTGGGGCTCTTAACTTGCTTCTGTCCATATTTCCTCCAATTGTAACCATCACGAGGCGGTGTCCTTAGAACAGGAGAAACCGACAAGTTGTTAACCACCCGAGTATCAGATCTTTGCTCTTGTTTAGTTGGAGCAGCTGAGACCAGTGATGGCTCCACCATTGATGGATCAACCTCACGGTTCTCTACTGAAACTTCGTCAACCGGTACAGTTTCTCTAACAACATTTTCCTTGCCGCTCTCACTCTCCTGCCAAATGCCACAGAACAAGATGTCAAAATGTTGTTCTTAAAATTTGCCTAACTGTAACTGATACAGATTGATCTTGGCCAAAAAAGTTAAACCACTATGATTTACTACTATTAGTACTAGTGACATCACTAAACGGGTACCGATCTACTTCTTGAAAGTCAGAAACTTTAGTTGTTAAAGGTTAATAAGAAATCAATCATCTCAATTCCAAGCAGCTTCACCTAGTAACAAGTCATACAATAGAGAAAATCTAACCAATTTTTGATAAATCAATTTGATCCTTTATTTACGACCCATAGGCCATAACATCGAGTACACTGAAGTGAGTTTGTAGATTTCATAACTTGGATTTTTTTTCACAGTTTCCCAATGAACAAAAATATACAGTCTCCAGCAACTCACCTTCACCTCTCGTATATCTTCACCATTTGGTTCCACAGCTGAATTTTCTCGAACACCTGGTAAACACAAACATCATTTCGTCAAAATTTAAACCCACGAATCAAATCAAAACAAAGAATTTTCGGAAACAAATCGTTACCTTCGACATGATCCTTAGCTAGGGTATCTCGCACCGCGTCATCGTGTAAATTCTCCATATCCGCATCAAGTGATTCTTCGTGTCTGAGTTGACTCAATCCGTCGTCGTCACCGCTGTACAGCTCCTTCTCCGGTTCCATTTTATCGCTCTTGTCTGTCTCCGGCGTGCTCTTCTCCACCGCGTACTCCCCAGCTTCGTCCCTCCCATTCTCCTTCATGACTCTCTTTTTCTCTCTTTCTGTCGGAGAGAGTAAAAGAAAGAAAGGAACAGATTCTCTCTAGGCCGCTTTCCGACCGATCTCCGCACCAAAACGTTGCGTTTCCATTTTTAATGCTTGTGGCTTTTAAAGCAAAAAAGGGCATAATTGTCTTTTGACTGATATTGACTTAAGTCTTGAAGATAGACTCCGTTTAACAAACTCCGTTAGTTCACTCAAGTCACAATTGGATTGGATAACTAGAAGTCTAGAATTAAACGAGTATGCTCAAGTTAAAACTTCAAAAGATATGTAACTGAAAATGAATGCTTGATTAGTCTCAGATTCTCAACAAACCTAAAGAACCTTAATCTTTCCAATCCACTCGATAAAGAAAAGAAGAAACAATCGACAGAAAAGACAAAAAAAATATCATTGATTTTGGTTTCAATACGTACTTCCTCACTAAAGAAGCCTACGGTTCACATCTCAGATTCGCTTAGAAACCAAAAATCAAGGATCTCTAGATCGTGTTTTTTTTTATTCGATTGTTAATCCTTTTTGTTTTGCTTCTTACCATACAGTATGATATTAAGTTCTTGGGTTTGAGAATATAAGATTACCAGGATCATTGTGTATATAAATATATAATAAAGAAATTGTTTTTCAGTTACATAGATTAACCATAATCTTTCCATTCCCGTTTTACACACGAGAACAACATCTAGGCGAGCGGTCGTGTTTCCTTTAAACTTTCTTTACTAGGATATGAGAAAAGAAAAAAGAACATATATATCTTGCTCTGTAGTTGTTTTTTGGTCTCGATGTGGAATGTGGAACCTCAAAAGTCAAAACACTTGACATACCCGCGTGGCGGTGAAATAGAGAGCTTATGTTAAACTAGTCTCCCAGTCCGTTTCCATCTAAGTTTTTATTTACTTGTTTTATCTAGTCCAACGGCAATCGGAAATTACAATATACCGGACACAAGTTTAACCGGTGAACGGATCACAATGTTAAGTGTAAATTACTAAATTTGCGGATGATGATGAACCGGGAGGTTCAATAAAGGGTCTTCTAAATTATACATCACTTTAGAAAAGAAAAAAAAAATAATAATTATTTTCAGATATTTCAACATTCATGTAATAATATTTAACGAATTTATTTGGTTTGTAATTTGGTGGTGCATTCGTGTAAAAATTATAAATGTATAAAGCCAGCTGTAAATTATGTTTAACAATAAAGCAGGATACAGGGCATAACAGTCATTTCGATTGTGTATAACCATAAAGCATGCTCACAAGCTGTAACCGTTTCCCTCCCTTTGTTCACAATCGCTATCCGCAGAACAGAATCACAACAAAAGAGACGAAGAAAGAGAGGAAAGAGAGGAGACGAAGAAAGAGAGAGAGACGATAAGGTTCCTCGGAGGCTACAAGACCGCTTCCGTCACCTGCGTCGTCGTTGCCATCAGTATCTACGTCGCTTTCAGCTTCACCAAATCTCCAGTGAATCGTACCGACGCAGAAGACTACATGAAGAGGAGCATGTATTCCGCGATGCCAGAAGACGAAGAGAGCGAGCTACCTTACTCGCGACTGGAGTTCGGCTACTACCACGCGTCTTGCCCATTGGCAGAGAGATTGATTCGCAATTCTGTAAAGAAAGTGTACAAGTCGAGACCAGCCATAGCTCCGTCTCTCATCCGGCTCCTCTTTCACAACTGCTTTATCGAGGTGAGATTTTCTGATACTTTTGCTTTCCCGTTTACTAGTAGACGATAAATCTTATGGAATCATGTTTCGGTAGTGATCTATTGTGAATTCTCTCTATCGGATTGAAGATTAAACTTGTTAGTGGAATTATGCTTGGTCAATAGATAAGAATCCGGAGAATCGACTAAAATCTTTGCGTTCGATCTCTGATTGTTGTTTGCTCATTTTGTTTGAGGATTGTGAATGCTCTGTATCTGCCTGGAATTATGCTTGGTCAATAGATAAGAATCCGGAGAATCGACTAAAATCTTTGCGTTCGATCTCTGATTGTTGCTTGCTCATTTTGTTTGTGGATTGTGAATGCTCTTTATCTGTGAGGAAATTATGCTTGGTCAATAGATAAGAATCCGGAGTATTGACTAATAATCTTTGCGTTTGATCTCTGATTTTTGTTTGTTCTGTTGTTCAATTTGTTTGTGGATTGTGAATTCTCTTTAACTGTGAGGAATTATGCTTTGCGTTGACTGATAATCTTTGCGTTTGATCTCTGATGGTTGTTTGCTCATTATGTTTGTAGATTGTGAATTCTCCTTATCAGATGTAAGAATATTATACCTGTGTGGAATTATACTTGGTCTATAGATTTCAGGCTGTTTTAGCATTAGATAAGAATCCGGCGTTTTATTTCAAGTGTTGGGCTAATAATCTTTGCATTTGATTGATCCTGTGAATGTTGTGTGTGTGTGTCTACAGGGATGTGATGCCTCAGTCCTTCTAGACGCAGATGAATCTCAGACTTCTGAGAAAGAAGCCGCTCCGAACCTCACTTTGAGAGGATTTGAGGTGATCGACGCCATCAAGTCTGACCTAGAAAATATTTGTCCTGGAATTGTTTCTTGCTCTGACATTCTTGCTGTGGCCACTAAAGAAGCCGTCGAACTGGTAAATCCCCTCTCTATCTCTCTTCTGGTTTATCATTGCTATTGTTTCCTTTGACTCACTTTTAGTCATGTCATGGAACTCTCAGGCTGGTGGTCCAAGTTATAACCTACAAACTGGAAGGAGAGATAGCCCTAGTGGCCTTCAAGAATATTGCAGAACAGGAGCTTCCGTCGCCACGAGCTAGTCTATCGGTAATTCTTGCAAGGTTTGCATCTAGAGGATTTAACCAGCAAGAAACCGTCAGCTTATTGGGTATTCCTCACTTCTTGTGTCAACTTATCTCTCTCTCTCTCTCTGCTTTGCTAGATCTGATCGAACTGGTTAGCTCTTTGTCATGATTCTTTTCTTCTGACTGTTCATATTGCAGGAGCACATAGCGTAGGCATTACCCACTGCACGTTCTTTGATGACCGCATCTACAACTTCTCAGGAACCGGCAAGCCTGACCCTGAACTCAATCCAGACTTACTCAAGGGACTGAGAAGGAAATGTCCCTTCTCAGGTTCATCTTCATCACCATCTGTACCTGAAGAAGATGATCTCATCGACTGTAGGAGCAGCTCGGAAAACACTAAAGAGAGAACAGTCGATCTGAGTTTTGGGAATGAAGGAGGTAGGCTTAAGTTTGGAACACGTTATTTTAAAAGACTTTTGGAGAACAAAGTCCACATGTTTTCTGACCAGCAGCTAATGAGCAAGGAAGAGACTGCCAAGTGGGTTAGAAAATATGCTTCTAACCCACTGGAGTTCCACCGTGACTTTGCAATGGCGATGGTGAAGCTCTCCACTTACCACGTGTTGACTGATCCACTTGGTCAAATAAGATCTAATTGCTCACTAATTCTGCCTTAAATCATTTTTTTTTTTCATTTGATAAAGAGACTTTTGTACTTTTACGTGTGTAACTTTCATTTGCTTTATGAAACGATTACAATGTTTGCTCTCTAGCTATTTTTGCTAACCTGACTACCTCAGCTATTATATTACGTTGTACATGCACAAAAGAAAATCAACATTCGTTAAAAGAAATTTTAGCTATATCTTTGACAAAGGTTGCAATCCTTGAGTTGCACCATCTCATGCTACCCTTCTGTCCAGCCAGATGTCGATTGCAGTCTCCAACAAAAAGCACATCTGTATAAGCCAACTTTCTTAGCTCCTTGACTGCCATTAGTAAAGCTAAGGCTTCAGCTTCCAAAGGAGTAGATGTAGGATCAGTAGAAGATTTACCTCTAAGTATATACATCTTCCCATTTACCTCTACTTTCAGGTGATTTCCAGGAGGCATCAACAAGACAACAATGTTTTTTATGTAATCTTAAAATGTCGTGTATACTACCTAGATGGTTACTTGGAGAGGTTTGGTTCAGACCATGTCTCTCTTCTGTCCAATGTTTGGATTCATTCCACAATTTCTGATCCAAGATAACTTTATGAATAATTTGTGGAATGAAATCTCTTTTATTTTCAAAGACCATCTTATTACACGTTTTCCAAATTCTCCAACCCACAAAAGCAAATAAAATAGTTTCTACTTGATTGAAAGTTGAAGCTCTCAGGAAACTTTCTATATTTTGATGCAAAGTCTGAGTTCGTAACTGGTCGGTCACATGTTGAGGGCATACCTTTACTGAATGTAATGGCCGATTTTTTATAGTTAATCTCTTGACCAGATGCTTGTTGATAAATATGTAAAACATTGAGGATGCTCTTGACATTCAGTAATATAAGAGGAAGCCTTATATCCATGTAATTTTGACTTCCAAACCCAAGTATTGATAAGAGGATCCTTTGCTCAAAATAGGTCTTCAGTACAGATCCCTAATATATTAAAAAGAATACACATATAAAACAAACATTTCATTCATGTGTTATTATCAAAAATGCCATGCTGATGTGTCATCATATGGTTCACTTTCAAAGTCTTTTTTACTTAAGACATCATTTACTAGACTATTTACATAATATGCCATTACATTAACTTGGTTAGAGAATAGTTTATATCAATTATTTATACAAATTTCATCATCATAAAGACATTCTCATTCTTTCCATATCTTATCAAATAAATCAAATTAATTGTTTACTTAAATACTTTGTTTTTCTCTCATTTCTTTATTGAACTAAATTTTATAAAAATAAATATATTATCACATTACCCATATATTAAAAAAACTGTATATTTTTTTCTACACAAATTATAATTTGAATTTTCAAAAACAGATATCAATTACTAAAATGATGAAAATAATAAGTATATCATCAAAGTCCCACATTGGAAATGAAAGTATGTGATAGTTCATTAGAGTCTTATAAAAAGAACCAAAATGATAAGAAATTATAAGACATGGAAGCTTAATTTAATAAGTATCCAAATTTATCAGTATATTTGGTTTCATATGGTTTTTCAATAAAACTATATAATTAAATCAAATAAAATTTATATTATTATAAATACTTCACAATGAAAAAGTTGAAAATATTTATATCAAAGATATTAAAATATTTGAAATAGTTTAACTTGGTTAGAAAGTTAAAATATTTAAAATATTTGTTATCACAAATTTGAATATTATAATATTTCAACTTATTTTATGAAATATATGAAGTATAGTTTTTTTTAAGAATAATGTTTTTTTTTCAGTTTTTCTTTTCTTTTGAAATATCTTATTATATTGTAGTCATTTGAATTTTACATTTGTTTAAATCTATCATGATTAATGCTTTAATTTATTTCTATTTTAAAAAAATGGTTTAAAATGTTTAATTTATAGACCATAAACCAAAAAATTGGTTAAAATAATTAAATTAACATTTTTAAAATAAAAATGCAAATTTAAGAATCATCACCCCGTGCAGGGCGCGGGTCAAACACTAGTTAAATATAAAGAAGGTGAAATAGGATCACAAGATTCCTCTCTTAGGGATAATTTTCTTTGTTGGACATCCATTAACAAGAACTGAATATGTTACCGTATATTTAGTAGAAAGAAAACCAGATCTGAATTTTTAATAATTAAAAAAAAACAAAAATTGAGCATAATGGATTTCAGTCGACTCTTGAAAAACAACAATACAGAGAGAGGCCAGGACTAATCAGGCTGCGTAGTCAGGCATTGCTTTCTTGAGGAAGGTTATTGGCTGAGATTCTTCAGGGGCTAACCGATCAAAAGGAATGTAGTTCTCTTCTTTGTCATAGACATGACACACAGTCATTATCGTCTTCATCAAGCGCCAGTTCCATGTAGCCAAGTTTGTATACTGCAACAAGAATCTTTTAGTGCCTTACGAAACCAAACTGTCACACAAAAGCTTACTGCTTTTACAGGGATAACAAAATCACTATTTACCTTTCCCCAGTTCTCTTGTATAGACTCGTGAGCTGCACGGAGATTATAGCTCGGTATTCTTGGGCTGATATGGTGCGGTATGTGGACGTTAATATCATGGCACAGAATCTCAATCCTGTCACAACAACAAAGTAGAAACAAATCGATTCATATGTATATCAAACAAAACCTCTCAAAACTCAGGAAAAAATACAAACTTAACCAAGTGAAGATGCATTACCAGCTTGGATAATCACAATGAACAGTTCCGTTAAGCTGAGCCTGAGCTGCGTTCCATTCATCAGCAGGCTTGAAAGGAATGTGTGGAGCCGTATGATGAACCATCGTGAACGTGCTCATCTACAGAAGAAACAACAACAATGCGTTTACCATTTTGGCTTCTGATGATATAAAGGAATAGAGAAAAAAGCTTAAGAGAGAAAGCATTTACCCAAAAGTGATAGCCTAACCACGGCATCAGCCAGAACTTCACCCATCCCAATAGACCAACTTTGGCTACGATCAGTGGCCAACCAACGGCCATGAAGGCGAAAACACAAGCCAGACTTATCTTCACTCTGTTCACTTCGCTCGCTCTGAACTTCCTCAGATTGAAATGCCAGTTTATCCTGTTAGAACGCTTACTAATCGTTAACCAAACAAAGTATATACAGAACAAACTGATTACAGCGTCAGAGTAAAAGCTATGTATACCAGTGAGCTATGGACAACCAAGGCCGAATCGGACCATATCCGAAGATGATCGCCTTTCGCAGAGCGGGTGATGAATCAAACTCCTCTGGTGGAACTGGTTGCCAAGCTGTGTCATGAACCAACCTGTAGAGAGAACAAAGTGGAATCATGACTCCCCATCTCTTTATCCTGTAGTGAATCTCTATAAGAGTAAGCGTAAGAGTTACATGTTGGTTTTGGCGTGGTGGCGGTCGTGCTTAAACCGCCATGGCTCATACGGGTATACAAGTGGTAAGAAGGCTAGAGTACCCACAATGTCTTCAACCAATTTGTTCTTTGAAAATGATTTATGAGCACAGTCATGACCTATCACAAAGAACTAGAGAAAGAAAAAATGCACTCAGAACAACAGTAACAACAACAAGGTGAACATAGAGAAAACACAAGTGGATGGGATGAGAGAGAGCTTACCCCTGTAATTGCAGTTCCTGTCCATGCCCAAGCCAACGGTAGCAGATACCACGGCGCTTTCGCAATCATGAAGAGCCCCAAAGAGTAAGAAGCCACAGATATCAATACAGTCTTCCAAGCTTTCACATCATCAATCTCAAACACCTGAAGAATCATCATCATACTCATAAGTATGAGCAAGAAGAGGAAGAAGTTCCAAGGTTTATTGAAAAAGCTTCTACCTCTTTTGGAAGTGTATCCATGATATCTTTTAAGGTGACGTTATCAGGAAGATTCTCTCCAATTTGTTTGAATCCATAGCTTTCTGCTAACTGTTCCCTCTCTTCTGCACTGTCAGCTGAAGGCGGTGCCACTGGAACAGCCACCGCTTTTATACATCCGATCCTCCTTTTCACAGGAACTATGGTTCTTCTTGTTCGATGCGTGCTTCCTTTTAAAAGAAGATCAATCGGTCTCACAGCATACGCACCTGCATGCATCCACCAACACAATCACAATCACAATACACTACATTATCCCTCTGCATTCATATAAGACAATCCCACAAGAACTAATAGCCAATTACTCTAACTCCAATCCGAATAACACAAGCAAAGACAAGAAATTTGCAGAGCAGAAAACATATAAAACTCCGAATTCACTTCAATTGTTAATATTTCTAGCAAAAGGAATTGATTTCTATTGAAACTCCATAAGTGTAAATAAGTTAAGCTTTAGGAAGAAAAAAGGAGGGATTTTGAGGAGAGATAAGAGTACCATGAGAAAGACGAGCAGAAGCAACCTTGGGAGCTCTGGGAAGACATTGTTGTGGGCCCTGAGAAAGCAATAGCAAAGAAACAAATTGATGATGGGAAGCTCAAGTAGAAGAGATGGGCAATAGAGGAGAGTGCGAAAAACGAAGCCTTTTTGTGTGTAAATGAGTACCGTGAAGGCGAAGAGAGAATCAGCAATTCTGGAAGCCATTGGCGCACAAATTGAAGAAGAGGAGGAAGAAGCGAGGCGGAGTCGGAGTTGCTCTTCAAGTGTTTTCTGGGATTGAATGGCTGTGAAGAGCCCTCACCTCTTCAAGCTCGTAGCGCAATGGACTTCCACAATTTAAGTCGGGTTTTGTTTTCTGTTCTCAGAAATAACGAAAATTATGAAAATTATTTATATTTTGTTTATTTCGCACACAAAATAATTATATTGACCAACCTAAGACGAATGAAAAAGTGCTACTGAGTCATTAACAATTCAACAACGACAACAAAATATTACTCCAAAATAATTATCAATTTTGTTGAATTCAATTAGTAAAAATAATTATCAATTTTAAACGATAAATCCAAATGGGAATTAATCCCCAAATTAATATAAAAT